GCTGCTTCATTGTGTCAAGTTCTTTCATCAAATCTCTCTTGTCCGATTCAGTTGCGTTTCCTGGAGCGTTAAAAAAAGTAAAATTTGGTTAATGGAGAGATTATGCAAAATTCCGAAATAATAACACTCGTTATGAAATGGCAAATCGCTAAAAAAATACGGTAACCCAATAACATTTCCTGAATGGCTGTAGGTCAAGACTGTCATTCAATTTACGGTACAAAAGCTCACCTTTCAGCATTTTAATAGCCACTGTGGTCGTTTCAGGACTTCCTCGAAGTCCTACTGCTGTTCCCTTGGCAACCTGACCAAAAGCACCTTTACCAATAATTTTTTCTATGGTCACGTTATGTCTTGGAACTTCCCAGCAGCGTGTTAACGGATTAAGGGGCATGTAATCAGCACCTGGAGCTGTTCTTTGTGCTTTTCTATCATCTTTGTTGACTTCCATGAGATCCATGTATACCGCAGGAGGCTGAGTGAGTTTTCTGGAAACGGGTTCACTTGGTTCGATATCTTCTAATCCTGTTTCATTCTATTAAATCAAAATACCGTTAAGGTATTAATATACAAATCTGCTATTAATCCCAGTAAAAAGTTCCACATGGTTATAAAAATCAGTTTACCCATTTTCATCAGACAAACCTTTACATTCTTGTATAACAAAAGATAACAAAAGCTTCATAATCTCTGTTGTCCTCATTATTACTAACATTTTGTCCTCTGCTTTGAAAGTATCATGTCCAATGGAGTGATCGAGGTTCGTAGCATATTTGCCGAAGCTACAAATTGCAAATGAAGATTGTCGAGTGGCAGAGCAATTTGACAAATGTTGACGAAATGTTGACAAATACACTTACAAAAAAAAACTCTTGCTGTACTCAGCTCTTAAACTAACGTTCAGAATATAAGAAATCAAGAAAATAAGACTGCCAAAAATGCGCAGAAACAATTATTTAGAAAGCAAATATCTACCGGGTGCAGACCAGACCAGGGACAATGGAAGGAAAATCTTTAGAGTAGTTTGGTAAAGGACAGGATCCAAGGACAAAGACCTTATTTAGTCTGGCTTCCTTCCCTTTATCATTGTATCTTCCACTAATGCAACATGCTTTTGTTTCGTAGAACTACACCTTTTTCCCTTCTTATTTGCTGCAAGGGTTTATTTTCTCGTAGAAAGTAGAGATAAAGTGAGATTACATAGTTTCTGGCCATGCTAACATAACCACAATGTCTTAACTGTTACTTACGTCGTAAACATCTCTTTCATCTGCAAAATTCCTACAATTGAGGAAGCATACGAAAAGTTCTAATCAGCTTCAAGAGGAATTTTATGTTAATATGAAACTATATCGGGCACATTACATCGACACAATCCAAGTGCCAGTAAATTCTTACCTCTGTTTTCCTACAGCGCCTGAAAAAGGATGAAAGGAAAAAAAGACAAATGATGTGGATGAGGGTCAAAATTTTGGTTAAAAATGAATCTTGCAGCCAAATCCTCTAACATAGCTTATGATTTTTTACCTACCTTTTTTATGTAGCCAGATTATGTAAATAATTAGAGGAAGGATTGTGAAGGCAAGAACCCCAATTATGGCTAACAAGACGTTGTTAGATGGGCAGTTACATTCCTCAGGACCTAAAATGATTCATTTTGCAAAGCTTGATCAAGTAACATTCAAATAACATTTACACTGATCCTGGTCGATAAACTGCTCTCATTACATAGCTTAGGCTCATGACCGAAAAACTAACTCTCATTGGTTAGGTACGAAGGAAAAGTAAGGTGCTACTCTTTCTATTATAATTTCTAGAAGTAAGATTTTGTTTAATTGACTAAAAAACAACAGCAACGACAAAAACAAAAACCTGGAAATATATCACACACAGGAATGAGTTGTTTAATTAAACTGATACGGAATACAATTAGAAAAAGTTCGTTTTCGGAAGAGAACGTGTAAACATTTAACAATTTACCATGGTTTGATGCTACTCTTGTATACCTAGCTGCCAAGCTATGGAGTGAGGCTGAGGTTGACCATGTTGTGATGGAGAGTAGTATCTAGTTTGCATGATTAAAATAGTCATTTGCATTTGAAAAGCAGCAAGGTCTGTATCATAACAAGGTCACCTTCAGACTCACTCCTGTTCAAAGGCTTGGCAGCCAAGCATGCAACTGTAAAGTGGACTGAAAGTAACTGAAAAGTTACGATTCGCAGACCCAACGTTTCAACACTTCCGTCTAGTGCCTTCATCAAGGGTGCTCTAATCGTTGCACAAAGAGGTCCTTTCACACGCTCACTAATTAGCTGCCCTTTTTTCTGACGAGGTGTAAATATGCGTCAGGTAGTGAGCCGCCATCATCACGATTTAAGGAGCGTGGGCAGAGTTAATATGCCAGGCTTCCAAGCAAAGGTGCTGGTGGTAACATGGATTAGTGGTGATAATTTTAGAATTATCCTTCTCAATTGTATGGTTAGTTAGGCTTGTGTGCTCCGACAAAGCTAAATTTTCTTTTTTACAAAAGAAGGCCGCTTTTTAATGCTCTTTCAAATGTGTACCAAACTGACGTTTGGTCTGTCCTATATACTGGTGATCGCTGTCATTGCACAGAATAGAATAAAAAGCGTCTCAGTTAGTTGCTCATTTGTGATAGGACCCTTAGGTTTGACAATAAAATATACCCCAAATCTGAAAAGGTTTTTGAGCAATATAAACGTTGTGGCTATTCAAAATTCTCTTGATAGGTTCCGAAACACCGTGAATGTAAGGAATAACAGCAAAACCAGTCGCTGGTTCCTTCTCATCAGGAGTATTACTTGTTGTAACTTCATTCCTTAAATCTTTAAACTAGAGTAGCATCAAATCATGCCTGATAATGCACCTGGTTGCTTTGTGAACTTCAATGTGTTTAACAATTTCTTTGTAAAATTTACCTTTTGCTGTGCTTTCCGAGCCATCTGTGGGGATAAAAATACTATTTTAGAGCTGAATGAAAGTAACTGACAGTGGTTAACAAATAGTTGAGTTTCTCTCTAGTGGAGAAAGTAGTGCTGATACAATGATCAATGCTACGATCCAGAGTCCAGCCCCCCTATTTACGCCTGGTATATGACTCTGTCTCTTTGCAATGAGTTTGCATGTCAAGGGTCAATTTCTTGTCATTATAAACAAATCCTGAATAGGAATGTAATTTCTGAATTTGATATTATTCACACAGCCATCAGCTGTAAGTGTAATTGCCGCCGTCTAACTATTATTATTTAATTAACCTGTTAACTGAAATGTAGTAACAAAATACACTGCAAAACAACTTCTCGTACATCAGCCAATGGTAAAATTTTTCTCATTGATTCAGGTTTTTGCAAGTGAAGAATTCACCCTTAAAAACCTCGATGTTGATGACACGGAGAGTGCTCGAAAACTAAGCTAAAGTAAAGAAAATGATTAACGACGAAAGGGGAAAGTAAGATTCATTTGAACATACTTCCCTCTGCCTTGACTTGCTGCATATTTGCTTCCTCTTGTTTTAGGCTTTCACCAAGCTCATTAGTTGCGGTAACGGCAAACTGATACACATTTCCTCTCTCCAACGCTATTTTCAATTCTCTCACAGAGACATCTCTGATTTTCCGTATTTCTGTCCACTGTCCCACTTTCCCATCAGCCATCACTCTTAGGTACACTGTATACATGGTGATAACTTTTCCATTACTTTTTGGCTCCTTCCACTTTAGGGTAATTTTATTGTCTGTTGTTTCACTTGGCATTTCGTCTATCTCAACCACATCTGGGGCTCCTAGATTGATGTCAACAACACAAATCCTGTGAAATTTGTAATAATTATCCAACTTCTTGTTACAAATCTGGTCACAACCATTATCAGTAATTAAATTGCCTCACTGTCAGAGGAGATAATTGGTTTAAGAAAATATATCACATTTTAAAAAAATGTTTCGACAGTTCTTCTGCTGTCTGAAGTTCTAATGTATACAAAATACAAAGTTGAATTTAAAGTGTCCACGAAACGAATGAGTAGTCGTCTCAGGATCGGTGATATTATCCTTTTCTATCTCAGTTTCACCCTTTCGTAAGATCAGTCGGTATCCTGTAATCGGACTTCCTCCATCATCAGCTGGTGCAGTTCATCGTATTGTTATCAAAGTTGCTTGAATTACTAATTCTGATGATTTGATGGATGCTTTCCCTGGTTTCTCTATACAGTGCCATAAAAAGGGATCATTTTGAGAAAAGAAAAAAAGGGAAGGAGAAATTTTTTTGGTGACTACCTCACAGTGAGTTTTGTCACAATACTTAGGATGAATGCAAGTCCTTGTATTACAACAGTTTAATGAATATACATGTAGCTACCGGATAAATTAGCCTGATAAGAAAAGGAAAATTTAAGAGTCCATGGTTGAGGAAGTTATGGATAATCGCATGGGAAGATGTCGTCAATCTGCGGCGAGCAGATAACGTTGTTAAAACTGGCACAAATCCAAGTCGACTGAAAAATGATCTGTGTAAAGTGCTCAGTCACGAAATCACTTATAGCTCTTTTGAAACGTGTTTAATGCTACCTAAGGGTAATGTGTCGATAGTTTTCTGCAAATGTGTTTTAACAAATATGGGTGCATTGTCCACTAAAGAGGGGAAAAATGCGAACGGAGGGCTCAGATAAGCCCATAGAATGTACATCGAAAACTAAGCGGCCAAAATTAGAAAATGAAAGAATAGCGGGATGACAAATCCTTTATTCGATGGTTTAACGTACCGTTATCTTTTTCCACACAATTATGGACCTTGCAAAGTATCTGCACGCATTATATGTTAATCTATCGAATGAGATGTACATGGGGAGTGAGCTACTCTGTCGAGTTCTTTGCTAGAAAATGTGGCTTTTACTTCTGCACCTGAAACAGTGATAATGAGTAAACGCAGAATAAAATGCTGAACTTATATATAGTTTTCGCCTAATTACAATACACTGATCTTTTTTACTTACTTATCTGATTTATCTTTATTAATTTCTCATGAGATGGAATAATTCCATTGGCAGCAATGCACTTGTAATGACCAAAATCTTCATCACCCCTGAGTGGTACTTGTACTTTGTTTTCTCTTGCTCTGACTCTGTTTATTTCACTTCCTTCAGGTTTGTACCAAGAGAGCGTTGGTGTAGGAAGACCATCAGAAAGACATTTCAAAGTCACTGTCTGGCCAATCCAAGACTTCTTAGATGACGTGGTGACATTTTGAATTGTGGGCGGGTCTAAGAATAAGTAAAAATGTAATAAGCAATTGAATAAATAATTGGTGATACTTCATATCGATCAGAACATTGACGAGCCTTGTCATTCCACTACTTTGTCATGAATAGCAAAATATGCCGCATATATTAAAACAAGGCAAAAATACGTGGCAGAATATTGGCCGCACTGAACTATCCAAAGTTTAACTTTTTTGGTCTACTTTTTAAATTTGACTGTTAAAGAAGCGAACTTTAAAGGAGGAAAGACCACAAAGAACCCTTAAAGACCACAAAGAACCCTTAAGAGTTTAGTTCAAGTTGTTTTCGTCTCTCGCATACACCTTATGCGATCGATACGTTGTACAGATAAGGCTGTGGGATGCAATTCCTATACTAAAATTAAAATACTAAAACCTGAAAATGATAGTGGAATAAAAAAATCCTTATTCGATGTTTTAACATAAAATACGGGCGGAAATTTGCTCATTGCTCATATTTTTTCTCGCCTCTTCAGGGCTGGGAAAAATTACTTTGCAACCAGCTAGTATAGGGGGTATTAATTTTTTTCTCAAAGGGCACAGTGACGAATCCTGCAATATGATGGGTACTTAGCGCGGTCCGTATTTTCCTATCCCTTCCCACTGGCACGGCACGTAGAGTCATCCGTACCGACGTTGCCATTCTTCGTAAATAAATCTGGTTTTGCTGGCTGTGCATTAATTTTTAAGGAAAGACGCGGGCCACGACCTCAAGCCGATAAATAACTCATTAATCCTCTCTTTCCTCTCTCTTCCCAAATCGCTTTAAATGGCAGCAAAGTATTGGTTTAGAAATAAATTTTTGGTAGAAAAATTGTGTCATTAAATAGATTGATTCGCAGCCTAAAAAACCGTTTGCAACTAATTTCACTCCTTCACAAAAAATAGCTTAGAAAATTAAAACGTGAGGTGTTTGTTTAAAATTGAACTAATCAATGGGACTTTCACTGACTCAGTAGTAGTAATAACCGTAACCAATCAAGCCGGAAAATTTGATCGTACGACCAAAATATATAGTGCTGATTATTAAAAATAAAAATAAAAAACTCAACTGATTAAAGTATTTTGCAATTCTAATCAATATACTTGCAAGCAACAACACTTATAGTTTAAGCTATGTCTACCAGATGAAATCATTTTAATTTAAGTTGTGGTAACCGGATTTCAGTGAACATAGGCAGGAAAAGGGGAGAAGTAGTAATAGGTATGCGCGAGTCGGAAAAACGTAAAAAAACGAGAAACGACATGAAAAAAATGGGCATGAAAACAGCTAAAGGAACGCAAAAGAGGACATGAAAAAGCTCATGTAAAAGGGCAAATATCTAGTGCAGAACGTGAGTATGAAGGACAAAATGCTTCAGAACACAGAGCGAAGAAAGTCAACAACAAAGGGAACGCGGACGTAAATGGAGCCGAGAAAGCAGAGGAGAAAAGTTGGGTCTTATTTGGGTTTTCTCCCGCGCTAAGGCCTAGAAAAGGGCGAAAACTTTTAAATCAATCGCCGTTTGATACAGGCTCCACTTTGAGTTATTTATTTCTACTTGATGAAGGAAAATAATCCATTTGCCTTTATGTAAAATTATTTGGCATTCGTGGTTTAAAAACCTACGCGCCTGTTCATTGCCTAAACAACATTTCAGAAAGTTTTAATTCTACAAATTATTTCGCTTGGAATGTTTAACTTATTGGTGGTGTAAAGGCAAAAGAAATTAAATTACGGATTACTTTTTCGTGAAATCTGGACAAGCAGTTTTGCCTAGATGGATTTCAAATAATAGCGAACGGTGTAAGCAAGCTTCCATCATTTGCTCTTCAGTTAACTAACTTTACCTGTTACTCATTTAGAAAAAACGCACTTTGCCCGTAGATGCGTGATTTTATCCTAAGAACTAGGGTATTGGCCTTTCCGTAAAATAAATTGAAGTTGAGCCGAGATGTTCATGTTTACATGAATTCTGACGCGGTAATTTGATTTTGACAATATTGTTATATGAGAACCCGTCAAACTTTTAAGAAATTACGGACCGCTTAAGTGTGATGCACACAAACTTGCAGGTTTCATGAATTTGGTTCTATTGCGAAAAGAGTGAGCTGCAGTTTTTTGACATGGTAATTTTTCATCAATTTGTTTTAATGCTGTCTACTCGACTTGCTCAAAATACAGGATACGCTTTGTCTCACCAAACATCGGACCACTTCCTCAATAAAACAAAGCAGAAGCATATTATCGATATGTTTATGCTTCTGAATACAGCTGCGAGAGGAATGGTATATGCAATTGTTTCCCCATGTGAACTGGGTCCAATAGACGGCCGTATAAAAAATTTTAAAAAAGACTTCGGGCAGAGTTTTTCCTCTTGGGACCTCTCGACTGGTGAAAAACATATTTACTATCCATCTGCGCTTAGTAGAGTACAAATAATGCACAAATTGAGTAAAAAAATCTTGCCATAGTTAGACAGCTTTTTGTTTTGAAACCTGTTCAACTGGTCGGCTATGTGTCCTATGCTTCTCTATCTGCTAAGCTTTTCCCGCCTGATAAGAAATACGCATAAAATAAAACATTTACATAATAAATTACTGACTAGACGTTTTGGTGTGTAGTATCGATGAGTATTTTTACTTGACCTGCCCTTCACGCTTGTCAAAACATGGCACAACGCGTAAAACTCCACACCAAAACGTCTAACAAGATAATTATATATATGTATATATGCATACATATATACATATATATATATTTATATATATAGGAAGTCTGCAAGTCGATTTTCGCGTGCAACAGTGCTCAATACGTTGAAGCAGAGCAGAATAAATATTATGAGAGGGAAACAGGGACGCAACTACATTTCCCGACAAGCCTGTTTCGTGAATCGCTTCACTCTTCAGGGGTTTATATATATATATATATATATATATATATATATATATATATATATATATGTATATATATATTTGATTGGATTTGCAAAAACATGCCTGCAACATGTATGTTACAAGATTGACTGTCGGTTCATCCCCTGCCAGAGCTCAGCTAGTGGATGAACACCCCGTGTGTGGAGGGTGGTTGAAAGACCAAATCAGCAGGCTTAAGAAGGGCTGCAAAAAACCTGATGACTAGGTTTTCAATGTATACCTTCAAGCCAGCCTTGCTGAAGAAAATGCGGGGGGCTTAACCCCAGCATGCTGCTCAGCCACCACCTTATTCTAGAGTGAGATGCAAATGTCTTTTTATGGAAAGCTCAGGGGGGGATTTCCTTTTTGAGTTGAGTTCTAATTAGGCTAAATTAGTTTCGTCTTTGTCCATTAACTTAGAGTCAGAGGCCATGCTTTGAAGCGTCCTTCCTAGAAGGCCAGATCGTTTTGGCTTAGGGTGGGGTGAGGCTGGGGAAATTTTCAATTTGAAAGGGTTTTTTCTTGGATATTGACTTTGAGTTTGTTATCTTTTTGGGTATGTTTTGGTAAATTTATACATGTATATATATAAGTACACGCGTTTCCTGAAATGCTGTAGTTTGAAAGTATACACAATTTTTCTTTCTTATCAAAATGACATCAATTTAAGGAGAAAAAAAATTGGGACTTTGATAACTAGATACAGGGTGACCATTTGATATGGTGTTGCTAAATATCGGTTGGAATATATCATGGATTCAGCAGCAGAGGCAGCTTTTTATAAAATACTGAGAAAATACTTACATTGCACGGTGACATAAGCTCTTACTGTCTTTTCCTGTCTCACACCATTGCTTGCGATGCACACATATTCTCCAGCATCGTTCGTGCTACTACTGGAGATGTTCAGCTGTTTGGTGCCACACAAATGAATCCCAGATTTTTCCCACCTTATCTTAGGTTCAGGAAAACCCGTCGCATCACAATTCAAAAACAGAGGGGTTGACGTATTAACTGTTATATTCTGTGGCACTTCTGTAAACTGTACAGGAACTGGGCAAGAAGAGAGGAACAACAAAATTTTCACTCCACAGCATTAAAGTACGATTTGGTTCAAAACCATCCACTTCAGACGCTATAGAAATAGGATTATAAAATATAGCACATGCATAAGAACAATATCCGAAAAAGGAAACAAACTATCATTATATCAGCTAATCAGAATTTGCATCAGTTTTGAAATACTCTAATGAAACCCTTAAGTCTACAGTTTTTAGCAGACACAAGATAATTACTTTGGAATAATGTTCTGGGTTTTTTTTCTTTTTTCGCCAAAATATGCAATCAGACCAAGGGTTAATCTCAAACTTAAAGCTAAATTGCTACGCAAATGGATGTACAACCTTATTAAGGCTCCTAAAAAGCTACACAAACTTACAAACTTCTTATGCCTGAAAACAATCTAGGGTAACTATGGGATGCCATTTCAACCAAATCATTGCTTTGTTTCTATTATACCCATATGAATCATTGTAATTCATAATTAGGTATTGGTTTTTATCATTAGGCACCTGTTCATCATTGTTAGGCACAAGTTCGTGATTATTAGGCACCTGTCCAACGTTATTAAGCACAAGTCCATCATTATTAAGCACCAGTTCATTATCATCAGGCACAACTTTTGCTATTAGGTACCCATCTATTATTAAGCACTGGTTAAATTTTTCAAGATAGGCATCCTTCACCAGCATTTTTCCAAGTGCCTTGGAAAGAGCATTATGTAGCAAGCTGAGTAATGCTTGCGAGGAAAATGCCTCTTCAGCTGGAGAGCAACGCAAAGATGTTTGTAAAGTCAAAAAACATCTGTCATAGTACTCAAAAATTCTCAGCGCTGTTTCTACCCACCATTTATGTTAAGTCTCACAGTTGCTTCTGCTCCATCTCCAGCGTCATTGTGTGGGACACAGTGGTAGTCGCCATAGTGCTGAGATAGATTGACGTTGTTTAAGGTATACTCACTGTTGCTGTTCCCACTTAGGAGGCCGGCATTGAAATAGAACTTGTAAACTGACACTTGAGGCACAGCAGCCATAACTTTGCACTTGAATGTAACTGTGTCTCCTTCAGTGACGGTATTTTGTGAAGCATTGGTACTGAGTGTTGCACCTTCGGGTTTGTCTAAAAATGTAAATCAAATCAAAATCTTAATCCCTATTTATTTTATGGCTCATACGTTCCCCCTAGTTCTAAAACACAACCCCTTGTAAAAGTCTAGAGGGTGCATAATAATGTAACAAGGAAGGGTTAAAGGCCCATTTCCAACCTTGATGCAACACGCGCCGCGACCTAGTTTCTTGTAACACCAAATTCCCAGGTCACTGAAAACCTTCTAAATCGTCTTTCTCAGGAGCCATCCTAGATAGTGAACTGTTCTATGGTAAATACATCCGCCGTTCGTCAGTTTACAGTTTCCTTACAGCATTTTGAATTCTGTCCGAAAGAATGCGAAGAAAATTTTATTAAAGTGTTACGCTTGGATCTCTTCGTACTCTGTGAACAGAGTAGGCGAAAAGGACAACGTTCATTTTTTTTCACTGTCTAGAGGCGTTTGAGGATTGTAAATGAAGGTAGAAAATTTCCAACGAAAAATCGGTATAGTTCAAAGAGAAATATGGAGTTATTTGAGGGCCGTGTCCAGCCGTGTCATTGAAAAGTTTTTTAGTGTCAAGCGTTTGGATGGCTTCGTACTCTGTATACAGGGTTAGCGAAAAACATCAAGTTCGAAATTGTAGGCTGCCTGGAAGCGCTTGAGGATTGTAAATAAAGGTAGAACATTTTCGTATAAATATATTTTGGATTTCGTTAGACTAAGATTTCGACTCTCGAGAGTCTCGCCTCGTAGAACTGCGTTTACACCGACCAGTCGATGTAAATGTTTCGGAAGGAAGTATTCAAGGATGCGCGGGACCTATGCTTTACCAACGGCGTAGTCTTCGTTGCAGAGAGAGGTTCATCAGCAATCCGTTTCATTGAATTGAAAGGCAAAGTACTTTCAAAACCCGAACACCTGAAATCGCCAGCTGATTTACTTTCGCAGCTTAGTCGTTTCAGCTTGTCACTGAGGGTACAGGTCCAGTTCTACGGAAGCGGTTGACAACACATCAGAGATCTTTAGCTGCACAAGTCGAGAAAAAAGAAATTGTTCGGATTAACCCACCTCTAAGTAAACCAGCTTCCATCTGTGCGGCAAGTAAGGATATCCTCTTGTGTGCAGATGATGAGCAGAGAAGCATAATGCAGCTGGAATTAGAGTACAATGGAGTGGCTATCATCGGAATTGTTGGAAAATGGCCAAAAAACCTCTTTGATACAATAAACATAGGCCCAACATAGATATTTCTCCTTTTAGGGCGTAGTTTGTTTGTTTATGGGAAAAAAATAATGTTACAGCGAATTTTTTAATGTTAGTGTTAAAATGGCTAAAAATGAACCGTTCAATGTTATATAGCCAAAAAAGTAAATGTTTAGTGCTATCGAAGTACTCCCATTCAGATCCTCTTTACTGCCTCGGAATCTACAAAATCAATGGTTCATCCAATTCCACGCCGGATTAAAACGTAGAGAATTGTTTTAAGCAGAATATTTTTGACAAGTTCTTCAACTTCATCGGAGAAAACGCAGAAGGTATTTTGAGACTACGTGACAAGGTAAAAATAACTAACCAATCAGAGGCACTATATAAACAAAAGCGGTGGTTCAAAACAAAAACAAACGACCGCGTTGCATCAAGGTTGGAAACGGGCCTTTAATCTTGTGTGTGGGTTAATTTAGTATCAATCCGTTGAGTGCCTTGGTCAGAAAATATAATGCTTTTGTTATGGAAAATTGCAGCAAGTCATCCTCTAGTGGTTAGAATGCTGACTAAAAGCAGAATACTTTAACTCACACATTGCATGCAGAAAAACGACAGAATTACTGCAGCAAGAAAATCACACCAACTATTTCTCTACTAGGAAAGCTATCTTAAAACCTCTCTTAATTAAAATAAGCAATTTGTAAAGGCCAACTTTACTTGTTATCAGACATATAAACGTTATCGCTCATGCAGAATCTCTGTCGAAAATCCTTAATTTTGAGCCAGAAGACGAGTGCAACAGTATCCCAGTAGTTGCATTTGAGAGGATCTCGTCTCGCAAAAAAGCGAAAACCCAATTTGAAACTAAGACATTTCTTGTTTAGCTAACAGGATGATATATTTATCTGAGAATTGAAATAATTTCCACTGTCGTGAAGCGTTTCCATACCCAAAATTGACTTCGTTTTTGTTTCGTATGTTTGATTATTTATCAAACGAGTTGAATTTTGCTACCGGTAAAGTAGACGAGAAGAATGTAGCAGGAATGTTCCGGCACGGAATAGTCAAACTAGTTCTGCGTGCGTAAAGTGATGTATCTGATCAGCTATTTTCAGGAAGATGAGTTCGTAGATTGTCAAATTAACACACATTTTGTAGGAAATTGGTGCCCACGAAACGAGTAAAGAGAGTAGCTCTGATGATGAACCGTAAACTGGTTGACACATGAGGCATCCATGTTTTAAAGGTTAGCTTTCCGTCAATTAACGTTAGAGATAGGTCACTTTAAAGCTCAATAGACCAAAATAAGTTATAATCTTGTGTTTTTTAGTAGCAACATGTATCGTTCCATTGTGAAAGGAGGTCATATGCTCGGTCATGTGACATAATTTGCAGATGTTGAGCATGGCTGGCCTTCTACCTTTAAGAGCTAAAGATATAATCGGAAGTTTCTTTTCATAAAAAACAAAAGAAATGGTCGGAAACAGTGGTTACCTAAGTGAGCCTTTTTTTCATGTCAAATCATACATGAAATTGGGTGGAAATGATATTTATCTCATTGCTTTAAGCTAAATAAGCAAATATTTGGCTGAAACTGCGGATTGTACGACCCCTTCATAGATAATAGTAGAATACGGAGGGATATTTCATAAATTTAAGTCACAGAGGACCTATAGATATTCTTATACCAGCTCTAAAAGGCTATTTTGACTCCTTTGAGGTCATGTGGTGTCCTGAGCATGATTGGGATTCGTGTTGTTAAGATGTAACTATAATTAGAGATTTTCGCAATAAAAAGTGACTAGTTTCAGAATTATTAGTGGTTAAATGTTTTAAAAGTAGTTAAAAGATTGGGCAACACCCTGTTTCCATGTATTGAAGTGTGACGTACAAAAATCATGAAGAATTATTCTATCAAAATTCCATAATGCCATAATGCTACGGTCTCGTAGGCTTGGGCGAAATGCCATTTCTGAACATTTCCGTCATTTTTGTTTGTTTGTTTTTTCTAAATTACCTGATGATGACAGAAAGCTTTCCAAATTATGTATAGACTCATGAATGAATCAAATGGGCTGTGAACCACTAAAAGTAACTAATGAATGATGAAGGGGTGAGATGTGGACCCCACTAGACTGGGTTTGTATTGAACTTCTTGTTGTAACTGGTCATGTTTTATATATGTGTAATTTGGTGTAACTTTCTTAATGACGAGTGAATTCAGAATCTAAAGATCAGTATACTATCCATGCCTGCTTTTTACCAACTCCAGAGGTCGAATGGCTGCGTATATGCAAACACTGAAATAATTAACTATCTTACATAGCGAGGCAGCATAGAGCTTGCAGGTTACACAATGCCCCAAAGCAGGAGGTCATGGAAATCAACTACCAAAGCGCAGCATTTGTTTTTCCTTTCCCTGTGTTTAAATGAAAAAGTGAAGGCTGTAATTACTCTACAGTACAATACGTCACTTGTTCGTCAATCAAGCATTCAGTGTAAGGTGGCAAGGCTTACAAATAATGAATATAAAATGGATTCTCGCCCTCAAATAATATATCTCTTCGAGCGTCACACAGGCAAATATGTGCACAAATCTTAGGCATGCACTTTTAGTTTTAGCCCATTTTCGTATATGTCAGCTGATGTCAGCCATCAGTAAAAAATCATGCATTTTCTCAGCTGACGGTTAGAATTTTGGCCAATTCTCAGCTTTCCATTAAGCCCAACCAAAAGTTCTCACATAGAATCAGAATATCCGTTAACCTTCTGCGCTAGTCAAACGGAGAGAATTTGGATTGTCACAATGACTCGGAAATGGCTTTTAGCCATTTTCTGAGTTACATTTAAACACAGTCTTACTGATGCAATGGGTTGCTAAAACAATTGTTACTTCCTCCGAAGCAAAATAATGAACTCAATGATTCCACCTAAATTCAAATGTCCCAACCAAGATATGGGACCAACGCATACAAAGCCGAAAAGGATTTGAGGTGAAATTCTGTTTCCTTACACTTTTGAACAGATTCGTCAGTTTTGTGTACCTGAACCCCATTAACAGGAGTTGCACTGTGAATAAAGTAAATTCAGGAATAGAAAATTAAGGTTAAAAAATACCTACAGTAAACTACAATCTTTGTGTCAATGGAAGTGACTTCCACTGAGTTATTGGCTCGACATGTATATTGTCCTGCATCTTTTCTGTTTATATTATGGAACTTTAAGGACGCAGCTTTCTTCCCTGAACTTTCCAGTACTCCATTTCTAATCCATGCTACATCCGGCGGTGGTTTCCCAGAAGCTGTACAGGTTACGGTGACAGGGGATCCTTCAATGAAATATTTTCCTACTGGAGAGAGATATATAAGCGGTGCCTCTGAAAGGTAAAAAAAAAAGATTATAACGTTCCTCATATGGCGTAGCAAATCTCACTTGGAATGGGTCTTAAAAGTTACTCAATTTCCAAAAAAATAAACAAAAGTATCCAGGATTTATCCCCAACAACCAACTAGTATAGGGAGGCTCAAACTTCATTCAGTACAAGTTAACCTGTTGATGCTAGCTACTGGAAAACTTACCCACAAGCTAAATTGTAAAGCAGAGCCCCAGCCTCGGGAATCAAGGGCTAATTCAGGAAGTCACTCATTGGGCTAAGGAACCTAGCTTCTAGGCTACTCCCATTTTTTATTCAATTTTTTGGTGCTGCACAAACGAATAAGAACAGAACCAATTAAGCCACACCTAACTTAGAACTTGGTCTGACAAAGGATCTATAAAGACATCCCAAACCCAGAGAACTGAAATTTTGACTGAAAAAGAGAAACTATGGATTCTTCCAGATAAAAAGAATATACCAGGGCATGCTGAATGCTGCTTGCCCATCACTTAATGTCAAAAGAAGACCTTATTCATCTCCTTGTATATGGATCATTCTTTTAACAGACATTAAATAATTTTTTCATCATGGTTCTTCTACAAAAGGACTTTGCACAAGGGAGAGTTTCGAACTTTTCCTCAGAATTTTGAAGAATCATACCCACAAATAAAACGTTCTTAAGCCCAAGCCAAACAAAGAAAACAAATTACCTCCCAATATTAAGAATGGACTGTATGAAGACCACTGTTGACAATTTATGCTAAAATTAATATCAAACCTTTTGCTCCATCGATCATGTTATTCCCCTAAAGAGGAGAGTTACATTACAATACAATTGTGAATAGGTGTTTCCAAAACTTATGGTGAGATGATTCTAACTCATCCTTAAAACTGAAGTGAAATCAGCCAGGGCCATCAAAATATGAGTCAAATTAAACAAAGGCACTTGCTACAAATTAATTAACAAAAAACAATTAAATTTTTATACAGCATGGTTCAGTCTTAGTTTTGGACAAAACGCAAAACAGGCAATACCCAGAATGTTGGGTGAGAAATACTTGAGAGCAAAAGGGCGGCTTAAATTCAGGCTAAGCAGTTCCTAGTAATAACCGACACAAGATTTGAGCTTGCATTAGCAAGGAAACTGTCTTCCAGACCATCAAGCGATCTTAATGTTGATTAAGAAACTACAAGAGATGGTGGGAAAGAGGTTGTAGAGGCGACACCAAAATACTCTTCGATTCATCTTTGTAAGGTAATATTCATGTTGGAAAGTAAAGGTTTGAGTAAGAAATGAAAAAAATTACCTTCCAAGCCAGATTAGCTGAAAGAGTAAAACTACTTAGTTTTATATTAGGTGCAAGTGCTACAGGTTTGGGAAACTATACGTAGATTCCTTTAGAATGGAGTGGCTTGTTCGAAAAATTTCCAGATCTTTAGGTAGATAATGCTAATTGTGCATCTTAAAATATTCATCTACCCATTTAACTATATAAGGCCCTTTTAAAGTTTGTTAGATTTTAAGAGTCGCCAATTTGAAGAGCTTCCAAATGAAGTTGTGACAAAGATATCATTAGTGTAAGTGTAGGCGAACATGATCAACGGTCACTCAACTAAACGAGAGTTTGGTGGGTCCAGATATGGCTTATCATTCTAGTTGACATTAATACAAAATCTTGCAAAGAGTTATGGAATAAACCTTTCAATCAGATATAACCTTTGACAAGAAACGGCTAAAGAACGTGGAAATAAAGAAACGTACTGAAGAAACCAAAAATCGAAAAAAATATATTACCCCACCACTAGCTCCAGCTTGACTGAGTATCCCACCACTCCCTAAAAGAGAGGGTATAAGCCAAAGTAGGAGGTGAAGTTTCCTTGGTTACACAGCTCTGTTACCTAAAAAGGTGGGGAATTCTTACCGATGAAACTCTGCTAAACTTTGTTATTGTTGACAGCTTAATGATAAAATTTAGACACAGAAATGGAATACCCATCAGCGAACATAAAATACTGTAACTTTTGACTTTATTGTTTCAGTCTAATATCTGTAGAGTGATATCTGCACATTTGCGATTACTGATCCGAAGCTTTGAAGGAAAGATGGTGCAATAAAATCTCCAATTCATCTCCCTGCGGCTAATTTTCATTTACCTGCCACGTCGCAGGTAGGTGCAGAACTGTCTAGTCCACAGTTTATACCAGATCACCATCAAGAGTGCGCTGCCATCGCTGCACTCTGCTGGTATTCCTATGCAAACGTAGCTGCGGCTAAAGTACATGAACACAAAGTGAAATTGTTCTAAATCCTAAAAGAAAAAGTGATCAACTAGGAAACTGGGTAACAAGAGGGTCGATGTCCTTCAAATTATGCTAAAATGTGCCGCTTATCAAAAGGAACAAAATAATTCTTAACTGTTCTCAAATCGCAGAAACCGTGGGAGCATTAGCCTCATGAATGTCATCGCAGTAAAATAGTAGAAACACTTGAAGATGAAATATAGTAAGGATAAAGATGATTTTTTTTCGCAACCCAATGCCAAAAGGATCATGGTGAACACACTAAATCAAAACCTGCAAAACTATTGACAGTGCATGGAACATCTTGGATATGGGGCTAGCAGACAGGAGAAAACTAGGGAATGAATGGCTGTCAAACTGGTCAAACGAGAATCTAAGTCACTAGCACACTTAGCACACTTCTCTACAACAAAATCTTGTTACATAATAGATTCTATTCTTTGTGCTATAACTTTTGTCCAAACGCAATCTAAATGTACACGACAATCAGCATTCTGGTAGAGATGAAAGAAGAAAGACTATCCATTAAATCCTCTAGGGGCCTTTTCCTTTTTTCATTTGTTTTTAAGTTTTGAAATCAAATTAAGCAATACTTAGCAGATATATCAATACTTGCAAATGTTATATGTCAGGGAGTGGATTTAACCGGATGTCACAAAGCTGTACAGTGACAAGGAAATAGAGAAGATTATGTAATGGTTGGTAAACAAAAACAATTTTTGTTCATGAGTCATAGACGATCAAAACCAGTAAACAGTGAGATTGAATTCTTCTCCACAAGTAAATGAAATCGTTCAAGGAAACAATGATGTAAATTGTACATGATTATTGAGATATCACAAATGTTTTCAACTTTGAATCACAGTCAAACGACCAAGAAGTTACATACTCAATATCACACTCGTTTTCATGTATTTAACGTTGTCAGGATATCCAAGATACTATATTCGAAAATGGAAGGTAAATCACCCAGAGAGAAGATTAAAAAGTCTGTCCAAAGAACATTCCGATTCCGTTTTGAAAAGTTTAGGTTGCGTAAGCTCACAAAATGTTTCATACTCTAAATTGAAATTAAATACTTTTAGTCTCTTGGGGCTCTTTGGGGAATTCAGCCAGTTTCCCAATGGGGCAACCAAAGCCATCAATAAAACTAGAGCTGTTGAACTGACCTCCATGTATAACAGCATCTGCTAAGAACAGCATTCCTAACTTGACACGTTGATCATCGAATTATTTTTTCTGTTTGCATACTCGGCGTCTTTCATACGCATCAAGAACTTGGATTATAGACTTTGTTGGCTTACTACTACCTTAATTTTAAGAAAGTTTTTCTCGATGGGCAAATTTTCCAGGTCTCGAATCGCTCTGATTCTTAGTTTCAAAATCTACTTGAGGAAGTCACCACTCTGTTGGCTAAACTTACATCGGTATTGTAACTTACATCTGTAACTTACATCTGTACTGTACCTTGAAGATCATAATCCTCAGAAATCAGCAAATGGCATAGTGCTGACTTTCATTCCCTTAGGCGAGTCCCTTTAAAAGGCAATGCCTCTTTTTTCACACCAAATTAATTTGACGTGCTGCCTGTGATTGCCCATACCATATTTCCTTCATTTATTTAGCAAAATCGTACAACCATTCGAATTGTTTCTACTTTGACTGACCACTTTTAAGTGACAGCTTTGCTGAGAGAAAATCTCAGCACTCATTAATAATAGTTATCTATGCATAACAGAGTAATGCAGTAGTTGGTGCCAGAAGAATAAAGTAATAACTCTTTGATTTCTTTCTGATAAGAAACAGCAAAGTAAATGGTAGAATATATTTTCTCCTTTTAGGAGTCTGGTGATGTATGCCAAGTAAAAGTAGCACTATTGTTAGCTAGCCACTTTCAGCCCTGCATATAAGTCTTGCGCAAATTAATGCTATTGTTTGCTTTCTCCAGATCTCAGAAATATGAGGGTTATGAGTTGGGTTCATTTGATTTATGTTTGATTATTGATGGTTATGTCTGTTACACGTACCTGCCACAATAAGATGCACTGTACTTCCAATCGTCCCTACAAAGCTTCCATAAACGCTACATTTAAATTCAGTATTGTCTGCAAGGTGGATGTTCCTTACAACCAGGGTAGCTCTTCCTTCAACTTTAACTCTTCCTTTGTAAGATGGAGGAATATCAGGATGTTCTTGGACACCACCACTGTTGTTAAAAATCATTCTGACAAATGCACCATTTACCAGAACACTGTAGAGAATGCTCCAAACCTTATTATGTGGATCAGTGTAGTCCCACACCAGGTTAGCATCACTACCATTTTTAAAGTAGCTTGGATTAGGAGGTTCCTGGGTGAAACGCACATGCACACCCTCTAAAGTAGACAACCATAAACATAATATTCTCAGCCCTTCAGTTACATGTGTAAGGATAATATTTAGGGAGAAGGGTTTAAATAGAGGCACTTTTAGTGTAAACAGTAACAAAAATAAGTGTAAATATACACTAAATTGGTTTTCACTGATATCAATCGCTCAAAATATACTTTCATTAGCGAAGAATTAAGGTTCAGCAACAGTTATGTGTAACTGTTTGTGCCTTATGAAAATCATTTGTGACAAGTTCCACTTTATTTCCTTTCCAAAATGTGTACAATGGGGAAATTCCAAAATTTAAAAGTGGTACTCTTGAAGAAATTTTTTGAAGAACATTTTGAAGTGGTTGCTTTAATCAGCCCATGCATGGTGATTATAGCGAGATATGATGCAATCCTTGACCAATCAGAACAAGCGCATATCTTTAATCATCTGAGCAATTTCCTGGAGGGAAAGTCACACTCAACTTAGCTAGCAGCAATTGTGACGGTCACTGGACATATGATTTCTCTGAGTAACTAAATATTTAGGAGCGCGTAGTTTTTACTCATTTGTTTTGTTATTAGGAATTTTCCTGTAAGATTTAGAAAGCTTATGATCAGCTAGGAATGCCTTTACATTTGAAAGTGTAAGAATAAATGTGGTTTTATGGCGTCCTTGAATGTGGTTTCACAGCGCCCTCGATTGTCGATAGAAGCAACTTCGGTTGTAGTTTAGTTGAGTTTGTACTGCCTTATTGAACAGTTCGCTTGAGAGAACGCTAAAGAGCTAGAAAACTTGCTCTTGGCATGGTAGGATTGTTTACGCTGTTTGCTACATTAAGTACATGTGTAATGAACATTCGAAGAAGACTGATTACGTAATGGCTTTGTTTTGATTTAAAGTTGGAAAAAAGTTCTGTCTAGTTTCTTTGTCGAGTTTACACCCCAATTTTCTTTGCGTACTATTGTTCACAGTTTCAATTACCTACTTGGCTAGCATTCCTAATAAGCCAATTTACAATTCTACACGTGAATTATACCTTTATAGTTGTACGCCCCATAAGTATCGAGTTTTATTTTACATAAGATTGTTCCAGTTACGTAACGTTGCAGTTTCTCCAAGCCCTTAAAGACAGGATTAGACGTAAGTTCCAGCCTATTGTACTTAGTTTCCTTTTCTTTTCGATTTCCTTTGTTTTGTAATTGGCCTCAGCCCACTTTTAATGTTGTTTAGTTGCAATTCCCCTTTTTAGTTTTCACTGCATGTGTATGATAGTCAGACGATAGCATTAAACGTTGTTAAATCATCTTGTGTTGTCGATTCCTACACCGTGGTTGACACTCTACGAACTCCAGTGCGCAACACCCTGTGTCCGCTGCATTGGGTACGCGACAACATGTGCTTGACCTAGTTAATTACCGAATCGCCTTTAGTCGGTTAGCTTGTTGTCTAGCTTATAAACCTCGTAAATTCCCTAGGTTATTATTTTGTTTCGCTGTTAACAATGACTTCATTGTATTTTGTTTTTATCCCGTTTTTGCGTTTGCTTTTCCGTAGTTAAGAATCAGGCAAATTCTTTCTCTTGTTCACTGGCATTTCTCGTTTTATTTTCATCTATTATTGTAATTGAAGGCGCGCGTTTGTTCCAAAACGTGTTCACTTCAATCGTTGTTTGAACAATAATCGCACAGTTTTTCATCATTTCAATCACTTTATTGCAATAAAACCTCTGTTCAATACACAACTCTTGTTGTTGGGCTATATTTTCTCAGTTTTGTTCTCACGTTTCGTTCGTTTTGTTTCGCTCTACTTATGATTTGAATTTCATAATTTGCCAATTAGGTCACAATTATTTGTTCGCCAATTAGAGCTTCTCCGTTCCATTTAATTTTCTTAGATTCGCTCTAACCTTGCACACTTTTATGTAGAATCCTCTTGTTGTTTAGTCGTGGTTGTCATGCGCGGTTTTACTGTAGCATTTTTATCGTTTTCAGCCGTACACGTTAACGTTCACGCGAATCGCTTGTGCAACACGTCTAGTAATTTTTTTTATTTCAGTTGTGTGACCATACGTCACATCCAGTTTATTGTTATCTTCAGCCAATTTTTCGTTTTGTCATTTCAAACAGGTTTTAGTCTTTAACGTCCTCGTATTTTCAAGAACCTTTTCTGTGCAATTTGCCTGTTGTGGTGCTGTTGGTTTGTATTTACAGCAAATTGCTTGGGAAATCTTTGAATCCTCCAAGTTCCTACTTGCTCGACCGCCGCATCCTGTTACATAATCATCCTTGCAGAGGTCATTATTTGAACCAATAATGAGTGATGGATGGCAAGGGAGAGAGTTTATGCACAGATGGAAACTCTTTCCCAGGTTTGCATAGCAATCATCTTTGTAATGGAAAGTCACCTGACAAAGCAGTAGCTCAGTTTCTCATGGCTAAGAAGACGACCCACACTAATCAAGAAAACAGTGCACTTCTCAGTTTCAATTTTGATCTTAAATTCTGATCGTATGGTATTGTTACACTCGAAGCATAAAATCCTTTGCTCTTGATTTCTACCGCTTCATAGTTATTCAGACTTCATTTATCACTGTATTATTTGTGATTGAAATTCCAAATCATATCAAAAATTTTGAAATACAAAAACGGTTGAAAGCTATCTTAGAGTTCGGAAATCATTTGGGCTAACATCACTTTCAGAAATTAAGGGTCGCCGTTTTCGTTGTCTAAGCTTAAAATAACATTTGGTAAAAGACACTCTAAAATCCTTTGAACGGGAGAATACATTTCCGACTTACCTGACGCGTGGAACTTTACCAGCAGAAGAAAGAGTAAGGAAATTTCATTATCACGGAAAGGAACCATCGTATCAGAATTTTGCTGATGCTTCAATGAGGAAGGTTGTGCCAAAATCCTGCGGAAGTCACTTTGAAGGGATAGACGAGAAGGCCCTTCTTCGTTTTGAGACTGGGACCAAGTGTCACGATCATCCTCGTGAAATTGTCGGCCCCAGTTGGCAAAATTGGATAAATGCGTGAAACTTGTAATGTGTCGAATGAGAGCGATACCGATGGCGCCGATATCGATCGCGCGCGCGTGTGAAGCTAAATGAAAGTCACGCAAACAAAAAATAACTTGTAACGGACAGTTTTCAACTCCTCTTTCTTGTTTATCAACCGTGGATGGATTTTTTTTAAAGGGCTACTTAATATAATTAAGATAGGTTCCGCTGATCTATCCCCTGTGACGATGGCACGAGAGTACCCATAGTCCGGAGCCGGAAACGAAAGTCAAGCGGATCTTAAGCGAAATAATAACGCAATCCAGACGCGCAAACTCAGTCAGTACATGGCAAGAAATGCAGAAAAATCGAAACAAATAATTTTTTTAGAGAGTAATTTTCCTCAAGACTACCTCTATCTTGGTATCAGCTTCTTCATGAACATTGGAACCATGTTATCTAAGAACATCTCAGACTTTTACTTTTGTGCCCGGTGTAAAATCAGCCGAGAGGCTACTGCACGAGCACGAAGTGGAAATAGCAACTAGCTTTGTTACTTATTACAGCTACAGTGTTGGGAAAGGTAAGTCTAAAGTCCAAGGGGCGCCACAGATGAACTCCGGTCACGAGAGGGATGCCAGGGTGTAGGGGTTATGGGGAGACCAAGAGGGAAGAGGGGAATCCAGAAACTTCCAATTAAATATTGTAGCATTCCATAAAAACTGCAAATTAAATCTACGTTTTATGTCAATTTTGAGAGACACTTACATTATTTTCTCTTTTTTTTTTTTTGCAGAAACTGGAAACAGTAGAATAATATAAAAAATAAAAGCGCTACAGAACTTCAATCTGAAATGTGGTGGCTAGCCTGAAAAAAGGGGGTTTATATGTAGTTTTTAATACTCTATTTGATATCTCATCCAAAAGTCAATACCTAAAGCGAATGCCTCCCACACAGACTTAATGACTAACTGACTGACTGACTACCAGATCAAATTAATAAATGAATGATTGAATGAATGAATGCATGTCTCTTCAATGCTCTTTTGATTTTTACTGAGAAAATGAAAGAAAAAAAAGTATTTTTTTAAGATCCCCAGACTGCAATGTTCCAACCAAGGATCACCTATGATGGAGTTCCTTTTATTATCGCTGGAGAGCGAGTATATGATTACCATCAGGGCACTAAATGGAATGCAGCTGATAAGCAACGAAGAAAAAATGTTAAGGTGACAAACAAATGGTGTTTTTTTTCTGCGGTTCTAAGAAAAATGCAAAAGAATAAAACATAAAAGCACTGCAGAACTTCAATAACTAAAATTTGGTGGGTAGCCTGAAAAGAGGGTCTCTATTTGTGGTTTTCAATACCCTATTTTAAAGTGATTCAAAAGTCAATACCTACAGCACATGTATCCCACACAGGGCTATTGACTAACTGACTGACTGACTACCAGACCAGATTAATAAATAAATGTCTGAATGAATAAATATCTCTTTAATGCCCTTTTGATTTATCACAGAAGTAGTGTTTTAAGACCCCCAGACCGCAATGTCCCAACCAAGGATCACATATGATGGAGTTCTTGCTATGATTGCCATCAGGGCACTAACTGGAATGCAGCTGATAAGCAACGAAGAAAAAATGCTAAGGTGACAAACACACGATTGTAATGTTTGAAGATATGTTAATCAATGTGCCTAAAGAAGCCAGTCTGTCGTGACCTTTTCCTAAGGCGAGGCAAAAAAGTAATTAATTGATTAATTAAAAGAAAAATAGGACCAAAGCTGGGAAAATAATTATACGGAGTGTGTTTGTATATACAGATAAAATTAAATTGAGGATACAGAAGACTCACATTTTTGGTTTCCGAGGAATATTAACTAAATGATGATTACATAGCAGAATTGCTCTCTGTAACTGACTTGAAAATTCCTACCAGCTAGAGGTACAAGACTAAGTAAAGAAAACTAAATGTAAATGCATTTATAAAAAAAAATAATTCCGAGGAGTG